TAATTCTAATGAAGGCAAATACAATAGAGTATAGTATTTTTCTTTTATTTAGTCAGTCTTTTCTGACGGTAAGTGAAGTGCACGAGGAATACACATGCGCGCCTACAAGCTACTCTTCATTCCGCGTCTTTAAAATTATGCAGCTTGTATCGTTTAGGATATACGCACAAATTAAAATACTTTTATGTACACACGCCAGCACATCAAGCTACACATTTACGTATCTTGTTCCGTTGCACTGGAGGCGATTTTCAAACAAAAACGTGTAGTCTGATGTGCCGTTGTCCGTACATGCTTCGTGCAAATTAATAGAACATTAACAGTCAAAACTTACAAGCTTTAGTATTTTGTATTTACACTTAGCCGATATACATAATTACCGTGCTATTATGTAATTCTTGTAGACTCTAATTTAGAGAAAATTTGGAGAAATGACATTTCATGGCTAATTCTTTTGCTAGTCATTGTACTTGTGAAGTGAGATGCACATACCTATTTTCCGCACATACTGACATAACTCAAAAATGGTTACCTATCACATGCTCGAAACATGACTTTAGTAGCAGGAGAGCTTCTTGTGAAAGAGTTCATCCAGGGAAGTACTGCTACCTTATCTATTTCTACCGCCAAGCAGTAATATCAGCATTACTGTGTGACGGTGTGACCTCCTTGCATCGTCATCCCACCTTTTTATTGCCTTTATACGGTTCTTGGCCACTCGTATTTAAATTTAAATTTTGAATTGTTCCATTCTTTTGCCTCACATTCTGATTTTGTTTCGTTCCATCGTCACTCCCTGCTCGACCGCGACAGCGGATGGAGCTGTCTAAATTCAATAGCGTCTAATTATTATTCTTATACTAAGTTATAATTATTATAATATAATCTAAATCATGTGTCAATTGTAATAAGAGTATAACAGCCTACAGCCTTATCGTGTACCTATGAATACGTACCTGTAATTCAGTATAACTCGGCCCTTTTAGGGGTAAGTGTCTACTTAATAACTATTTATATCCATCATTAAGTTAGGAAGTGTTTTATAATAATGTACCTGTTTTCTATATTTACCTTTTTATTGTTACAGCCTTACTTATTTGTTACCATTTCTGCTTAACCGGACTTTAAATAAATTTGTGGACCGGAAGTTTTCTGTTTTACTGCCGTGAATCTGGTCACGGCTTGTTAGGGTTATAACCCTTTCAACTGTGTTCCAGTTTTGAAGGGTAAGGTGCTGGTGAAATTATAGGCACATGGGAATTGTCAACTTGTTTCAGGGTGACGGGGACAGTGGCAGTGCCCCTCAGATCTTTGTGATTTACAGCTCTGAGTGGCACTGCAACTGTTATAGATAGGCGTGTAGTTTACCATCAGGCGCACGACTTGTTATTAAAAAAACATGATTTATTATAGAATTTCACTATTTTGACACACTGGCGAGTTATCCGGTTCCCGATTCTTATTTCCCCAACATTCCGTTTGACTATTGTACCGAATTGAACATTTTGTTTTTGTAAAAAGAACGATATCCATAAAACATTTTTTTATATTAATTCTTGCCAAATTTATACCATAACTGTCATCACACTAATGAAAGAAAGTCGAACTTTGTTCGGAATAATGAAATACGGAAGGAAGAAATTCTTGTTTGCGATAGGTTACACTCAAAAAAAAAAATGGAATTGAGAAAACACGATTTGAATGCTGAAAAAATTACTAAATGAAATCAATAAAATATTGTAATTTATAAGTGGAGAACTAATTATTATTACAAATAAAACGAATTCCATTAGTTGCATTAGATTCATTCGGTATTTTACTTTAATTTTCAAATTGTGTTTTCTCAATTCCACCCATTCCATCATTTTTGAGTTACGTTTATATTTATATTGATTTGTATAAGACAACTTTGCTAGATAACAAAGAGAGATTACGAGATGTTTTGTTGGTATTATCTGAACATGATATAGCGTAATCGCATACATTTCTTGCTAAGGCCTTATTACTCGCATTATACTTGTGTATAGATAACTACATACATTATTACCGCAAAGCGTAATTTTGGTCGAATGAAGACAATAGGAATAGGAGGAATAGGAATGTGGCTTGTATTTATATTTTAACATGATTTATATAACTTATTTTAGGTTAAGCTCTACCTAAGTAATGATCTACCAAAGAACTAATTAAAATGTTACCAAATAATTTCAGACATAGACTTAATAAAGAAATAGGCTCAAATTAAAAAAATATTACAAAGTGTCCCTTTTTTAAGTATATAAGCTCATTGAAAGTGACTGACTGATTTTTTTGATAAATGTGGACATGACATTGGTGCTTGATATATTGTGCATAATATTTGATAGATTGACATTGGTAGTTGGTATTAATTGACTGATTATTCCTTGTGCATGTCTAAGGACAGCGTTATAATTAGATTAATTTTAAGCAAAATTTGGCATGCCTAGTCAGGTAAAATATGTGTTATAGTACGAGACTCTTTAAATTCGTGGTTTCTGAGACCTTTGATGGAGGCTTGCACCAACGTGCACATTGACTCCAAAGAAAACATACACGAGCGAGTTAAATGTCACATAGTTACATGTTTTCTAGTAAGACGGCCATTAAGTCTTTTTAGTCTTTGGCTAAGGAGGTGCGCTATATGCTCAGTATATAGCGCACATAGCGTAGTGTTATATATTGTGGGCGCCAATGTAGTACGAGACTCTTTAAATTTGTGGTCATTGTTTTCTTTGGAGTCAACGTACGTTGGTACTAGCCTCAACCAAAGGTCCCAGAAACAACAAATTCAAAGTGTCATAGTATAGTATTCTATTATAATACTCCATCTTTCGTTAAATTTAATTTTACTTAATTATTCCTTTAAATGTTTAATTAAAGTTGGTTTTGTTTTCTTGTTGGCGTCAATATGTGTATAGAAAGAATAAAATAATAAAAACAAAAAATCGTTATTGTATAAAACCAACATAATACAATGTCGATTACGTATTTTCTTCCATAATTCTTGTAGAAGCTAATAAAAATGTCGAACATAACCGTAGTAATTAGCAATATATATTTCATAGAAAGGCCGTGTATAAACCTAATCCACTCTGCGCTAGTTAAGCGGCGAGTGACACAATGGGCGTTGCGGACCATTTTTCAAAAGTGACAGAAACAACCGCGATCAACGGTCCTGCCCAAAACAAAGGCTTTATTATTTTACCATCGCGCCACGAGAAAATGGGAAAATTATTTTCAGCCGCTAGCGTGTCTAAAAAGCCTTTGTGAATTACTTTTAGGTTTTTTTAAGAAGAAACGCTTTGTAAGGTGAAAAATGTGCCAAAGGAAAATATTTCGTGAACTGCGCTCCGTTCGCGCTATGATATCGTTTTGTTGCTTTTTTAATAACTTCTAACTTAGTTTTCTGGATTTATTATTTTTGTAGTTCTGTATTATTCTACTAAACTGTTTTTAATCATGTGTTGTAACCTTTTTTTTTCCTTGTACCATTGCGCAGATAAAGAGAATTCTCCTATTTTATAAAGTATTATTGCAAGTTGTCCTTATCAAAGGTGGAATTAAATTTACACATTGCTTCGACTTTTATTAGATTAGTTCCGTAAAAAGATTTATTTTCGGTCCGCCACTGTCGCTAAAAGTGGCGATGGAACGAGCTGGCTTCAAAATAGAAGACGACAAACTATCGTGGCCCACCAAATAGTTTTATTCATTTACACTACGTTGCCTATTTTGTTCAAATTTACAGAAAAGAGTATCTAAAGAAATGTTTAAACAGCCTTCAAAAACTCATCGTTTGTAATATCGTGTTTTTATAAATGAATCTCGAGCCGCGAAGTAATTGAATCTCCCTGAAAATCGAGTTAATGGACCATTCGTTTATTATAAATATCGATTTTCTTTGCGAGGATAGGATTTCGTTGTTAAAGGTTATTAACTCGGTTGTAACTTCGTTTTGTGGATTGGCACATTAGTCGTTTTAATGTTTGTATTTCTTAATGTAGGCAACATGTGGACTCATTACTAGAGATCAAGCTGGTTTGATTATGTAAATCAAAATAAAACAAAAATGTATAAACTTTGGGTATCGTTTTTAAAGTTGTCATTGAGATTTTGTTCAAAGTAACGTTACGTAAACTGTCGCTCTGAAGAGTAGTAAAAAAATCCTGACGTTGACATTGATGTCACCAAGAAGTGATAACATTCACCGCTCCTGAGTCAAGACTTCTAAAAAACACATAAAAGTGTGTAGTAGGCTCTACAACTGGCATTTGGTAAGGCTTGAGAAGGTAGTACAAATAAAGTAATCCCCGTCAGCCTAATCCCGATGAGAGTACTTCGCGTGGTTTGAGATTTTTCGACGCATCCTTCCTTTTATTGCGTAGCGTAGATGGTGGCTTATAGCTTTCTGATGCGGACTATTCTAAATACTTACGAGTCTATACTACCTCAAATGACTTTGATTGATTTGGCATAACAGTGAAAGTGTTGGATTTTCACTTTGGAAAAAATATGTATTAAAAATATATATAGATATACACTGACTACGGTATGAAAACACGATTCTTAAATTTGCACACAAGAAAAAAAACACAATGTTACTGCGAAATTTTTCAAGAAAACCGCTGTAGGTATTCAATAGGTACTTTACATAATACCAATTATTATTTTTTATATCAACTGAACTAAATAGAACACATACATACTATACGCTATATATTTTTCAAATGGCTTTAATTTCGTTTTTTTAAATAAATTCTGAAATAAATCCGTCCCTGCCGCTCGACCCAAGCAAAATGAACCGTATTAGTACGGGAAAGATTTGAATTTGAGCTGAGGTAGACTTTTAGCTACGTCATTTATTATAAATAACAAGGTTTGAAATGTTCGGGTGCGAAGACACAGGAACAAAGTAGTTTGTGCAAAGTATCTTTCTAATTATTTTGACTGACTATTTTGGGTGCATGATATGAGCATACCCATACGACGTACCACTGCTTTTTTGGACGTCTGGCGTATCCTGGGAAACAATGGGGGAGTACGTTATGCCGTTTGGCAAATGGTTTCACCACGTGTATGCAATTGATGCGATAAGAAGAAGAAAATTATTTTGACAGTGTATTTATCAAAATAAAATTATTAAAATTAACAAATATCTGCGTTCTTGCAAATTTCGCGAATAAAAAAAGAAAAATGTACGCTACGCCAAAAAGCATCCATGTAGTCTTCATATATGCCCATAGAAAGCGAAATGTGAAAATGATTGGGCAAAAGGTGTCTTAGTGACGCAACGGACAGCGTGTTTTCATAAACATTTTATGTTTACGATCAGAAGCGGCCAAGAAAATTGCTAGCTAAAAAAGATCCACAAGAAAGACTTAGGCACTTTACTCTTCATCAGTTGAATGGCAGATCTAAAGACAGACTTTTTACTGATCTTGCGAACTAAAGGAAGTTATAAAATCCGTGAAAGAAGCGAAAAAACTAAAACCAAGATCGAAAAAGGTGAAGGCCTTAACTAACGCAATTATAGGACACGGTATCTTTATTGGAATCATTATATTGCTGCTTTTCAAGAATAGTGACCCAAATCGAAACTGATGTTTCTTTTACTTTAAGAAGCGGTATTCAGAACGCGCAAAATTTTATTGTGGATAAGACACCAAGCTTCCCATTTGCTAAAACAATCACGTGACGACATTGGGCCGGTATATAATACGTCGGATTTACGTGCCAGATAAGCCTGTTTCTTCGAAGTCGTCTTCCTGGTCAATTTAGATGTTTTCTGAGATAGGCTAGGCACTATTCTAAAAAGCTATCGATATGTGAAAGCTTGTTTGTCAAAACCTTGAGGGGCTCAGAACTCAGTCCACACAAACATGTGCCTTGTGCGCATCAGTTTTATTTCGTGCCTATTTTCGTTAGTCCTGACACGAGTTTTTACGATTGCATATATTTTTTACATCTCTTCGTTATTCCGGAACATTTTCCCCAGCTAATTACAAAGTTGGGGTCGTAATTTACACAAACCTTGAAATATACCATACCTCTTACTAGTTTGACTTTACTATTTTACACGGTTGATAAGGGCGAATGAATTTGTCACTTTAATATTATACGAAACGTAAAATGTTATACTTAGGATTAGTCGCAGGTACATGTATTACGAACGACTACTTACATTGTATTTAATACTTTATGTTGTGCTGGATAAAATAGGGTTTACTTTATGATCCACTTTAAGGTCCCATAAAAAGGCTTTCCATGACATTGTATATCAGAGGTAGTCATAAATGTAATAAATTGTTGATAGTGCTTTTTTTAGACGACTGGAACAATTGTGTGGTTTAATCAGCTGAGTGCTTTTGCTTTTGGAAAACACATTGTTTCAGTTTTATTGTGTGGAATTTTGTTGCTGGATTAATTTCTTAGGTTGGTTGTTGCTTTTAATATGGTGCAGGTATTGCGATATCAACATAACCTGATAAACTTAATTCACAATCACATCTTTTTTTTGTCACAAAATTGTATTTTGAACTTTTTTTGAAGGTTTTCATGATCGTTACACATAGGAAATGAAAATATTTTTTCGGATCTTAAAACCCAGTCAGTCGTGAGCACGGGACGTAAAGAGGCCGACACGTCGATTTGTTTGTGTGGTAGCCTAATGTTCTTACCATTTTGACCTACCGCCTCTCAAGCTGAGACCGAATCTGCTGAGACAAATTAAATGAAATGGTTTTTTTAAAATAACATTATGTAGTATGAATATAAATTTATAAAAATCTCTAATGGAAAGAAATATACCACCAGAATTTGAGAATAATTTTATTACTTATATTAGTGCAATACATACGACAAAACATAATATTTATGTATATCAATGACGTAAATTTGTTATGAATTAAACTATTATAGACTTTTATGAGTGACATAACTTGTGCAACGTATGATTAGATTTTATCGATATCGATAATTGTTTTATTACAGTTATTGAATTCCCGGGCTACACAAGCCTAAGACAACTGACCAATCAGCCTTCATCCCGCCGAAAATGAGTGAAATGTGTTTCGAACAAAATTGCTATATTGGCTATCTGGTCTGTGTTGATAATGATGATGAGATCCGAAAAAATAGTTTCATTTCCTATCAGTAAGATTGGTATTTTTGAGTAACATGATGTTTTCACTAACATGATGTTCATATATTTTTTTGTATATACTCTAATATTAGGGGTTAAAGTATGAAATTGCCGTTTTATTGCAATAGGTTCTTTGAATTTTCATAGAATCTTCATGGTTTGAGGTTTTCGAATGAAACTTTTTTCAAATGGTTTCTGTGATTTTTTTTTTTTAAATTTGAAACATTTGAATATCGACTTTCAATTGTTTTTGTTATTCAATTTAGACAAGAAAGATGGATACTGCGAAAATTCGAGTGATTTTTGAATACGAGTTCCGACGCGGAACTAACGCGGCAGAAACAGCCCGCAATATCAATGCTGCGTTTGGAGAGGGGTCTACTAATGAACGCACCGTGCGATTTTGGTTTAAACGCTTTCGTGATGGAAATTTCGCCTTAAAGAACGAGCCACGAGGAAGACCGCCCACACAGGTGAATAACGATGAATTAAGAGAGATAGTGGAAGCCGATCCTAGTCAAACTACCCAGAAATTAGCGGCATGGTTTAACGTTACCTTACCCACAATATTGACTCACTTGCGTCAAATCAATAAAATAAAAAAATACGAAAAATGGGTGCCTCATGATTTGACTGATCTGCAGAAAGAAACGCGTGTTGAAACTTGTGTTGCCTTGTTGAACCGGTACAGAAATGAAGGAATATTGGATCGAATTGTAACATGTGATGAAAAGTGGATTCTTTATGATAACCGGAAAAGAAAAATGCAATGGCTGACCCCAGGTCAAATGCCACAACAGTGTCCTAAAGCAAAACTTACCAATAAAAAGGTAATGGTAACTGTTTGGTGGTCTCAGCATGGTGTTATTCACTATAGTTTTCTCCGATCTGGTCAAGCAATAACGGCAGATGTCTATTGTGCCGAACTCCGAACCATGTTGACAAAACTAGCAGTAAAACAGCCCCGACTCATGAATCGATCTTCACCATTATTGCTCCACGACAACGCGAGACCTCACACAGCACGAGAAACCATTTTGACCCTTCAGGAACTGCAGTTAGAAACCATTCGTCATCCTCCGTATTCACCAGACCTTGCTCCAACGGACTACCATTTTTTTCGTGATTTGGACAATTATCTACGTGACAAGAAGTTTTCTTCTCAGGAGGCAGTACAAAATGCTTTCACACAGTTTGTGCAGTCTAGATCGTCGGAGTTCTATCGCAAAGGCATTAATAACCTTCCCATTAGATGGCAGCAATGTATAGATAATAATGGCAACTATTTTGATTAAATAAATTTGTTAAAAATTTAAAAAATAAACAATTTAGATTTTCATTACAAATCGGCAATTTCATACTTTAACCCCTATTAGTTTGTTGTTATCGTACAAATGTACTCGTACAAATTCCTTCAATCCGACTGTATTCGAACCAACGATTTTGCGCTTTTAACGATAGTCCCGGTTTGGCGAAAAGTGGCTGGATCGAGTACAGCCGTATCGAAGGACATTTCTTTGCGTGTGGTCAATTTTTATATCAATAATAACAGCTGTAACGTGTGTCTTGTGAAAGTTCGTAGCTAATATATTTCCCGCTTATTCGCGGTTTCCGACTACGGATAATTAATTTCGTGCTTGATTGATCCTTGTGTTCACTAATTTGTGTCTCTGAACAGCTTAGCTATGTTTAGAACTGCCAACATGGCAATAATTAATCAGTTATACGATCAATAAACTGTACTATAGGTAGACTATATTTGAGGCTGTCAGCGTAATTAGTCGTGTAACCCATATTCATTTTTTCTATAATATTACTTTAAATGGTACTAAAGTACGTACATCCTAATTAATTCAAATTTGGAACCTATTTTCATATTAAAAACATATACGTGTAATTAGCATTCAAATAGAACTGCCTCTTTGGCCGAACGGTTCCCATATCGGACTGCCGCGCAGAGATCCAAGGTTCGATTTCCAGGCCGGGAGAAATATGTGTATACATTTATTTCTCTCCTGAGTTTGGGTGTAATTTGTGGATGTCTGTCAATGTGTGTGTCCAAGGCACCCGCGACAAAGAGTTTCCCTAGGGAGGGCTATGAGTGTGTTGCGTTGCGTTTGCCTTATAATTAAGTACTTTTGTATCATTTAAAGTGATATTGTAATAAAAAAATGAATGTGGGTTACATCACTATTGCGCTGATAACCTCATTTATTGTCTAATTTCAACATGTTAGTAATACGCATTCCAACATGTTGTTTTTAACGCATACACTCAAATCCCCGCATTAGAGAAACCCTATATCATGGATGCCACAGATGCCATAGACAACAACAAATTGAATCCAAAGTCACGACAGAAATTAATGTAGGCCATACAAATATTTCACCCGGACTGAGAATCAAACCCGGGACCCCGGCGTGGTAGACCAGCACGGTAACCGTTCGCCAACGGAAGCAGTTAAGTTCACTTTTTATTTTCTTTTATGATACTAATTGACGGGACAAACAAGTCGTGCGCGTGATGGTAAGCGACACGCCTGTCCATAACAGTTGCAGTGCCACTCAGAGCTTTAAATCTCAAATATCTGAGGGGCACGCCGTTGCGCCCATCACCTAGAGACAAGTTGAAAAGTTCCATGTGCCTATAATGTCACCAGCACGTAACCTTTCAAAACCGGAACACAGTAATGCTCACACTCACATTACTGTTTGGCGGCAGAAAAAGATAAGGTGGCAGTACTTCCCTGGACAAACTCTTCCATAAGGAGCTAAGAACCTAATAATAAGAGAAAACAAATTGATCCATTTTCAATTATTTTATTTCCGTAGTATTTTTGTATCAAAATGCGCGTGTTTTGTCATGCTTCTAACTGTGAT